AACTCTACACTCTTTAATCGAAGCCTAGAACTGGGGGCTTTATCCTTCTATGCCTAATACCCACTTCTTCCTTTCTTGCTCCCTGCCCCTTCATTTCTTCCAGAAGCTGCCTTGCTTTATGATTATTTTATACTGTAGAATTGCATTCAGCTGTTTTCAGCCAAGGGTGGGGTTGGGGGGTGGGGTTGGGGCTGTTTCTGAGAAGAGAGCTTAGGGACACAAACCTCTTTTATACATGCTTCGCTTTTTTTTTCCCTTTTGTTCCCTTCTTCCTCTGGAGAGATGAAGAAATAGCTGATGGAGGATGGGGTGTGGGTGGGGCCCAGGGTCCCTTGGTGCTGATGGGCTGGTGGGGGCCAGGCTTTCAGAGGAATGGGAGGGGGAGAGGGAGATGCAGAGCTATGAGGCCATTTCTCTTGGGCTCCAGGGCTCCTAGTCTCTCGTGACTGCATCCTGGTAATCAGCCTGACCAATAAACCTGCTTTTCTAAAAAGACCTGTATTGGATTGTACTTCTTCAGGGGAGCTGTAGGAATAGCCACGTTTCTCCACCTTCATTTCCCCTCCCCTTCCCCTGTGTGCCAGAAATTATGCACTTGGATTCAGTCCACTGTAGCCAGGACCTGGAACCCCAGGGCTACACCCTGCTTAGTCTGATAATTTCCCTAAGAAATAGGAGGAATGTGGTGGGGAAAATGGGGGAGGAACAGATTTGAAGGCAAAGGAAAGAGTACTGAATCTGTAGTGAGAGGACCTGGATTTAAATCCTGGCTCTGACACTTACTGTTCAGGTGACCTTGGGTAAATCATTTCCCCAGGGCCTGTTTCCTCATCTATAAAACCCGGAGGCTCAGACTAGCTAATCTCTAAGACCCCTTCTACTTCTAATTCCCCTATGAAACTGGATGTAGCTGGGAAAAGGTCCAGGAGTTCTTCACTACTAGCACACAGCTTGTCCCCTACTCCATATAGGCTGAACTCTTCCTTACCTGGCCAGACCCCAGCCCTATCTCTCTTCTCTCCTAGTTGTTTGCCACATACCCCCATGTCCCCCACCTCCCAACACACATAGGCACATGCTGGGGAGATACAAAGAGAGAACAGTTTTGGTTAGAGAAGTTCAGAGCTTAAGTCAGCTTCCCAGTCTCCTGGGAGGAATGGGAAATGAGCCTGACCTGAAGCCATCTCACCTAGCAAGCTGGGCATCCTAAGAATTCTGCTTATTTTTGAACTAGGAGCCAGATTTGCAGCTACAGGAAGAGAGCAACGAGGCCTTGCCCCCCAGTTGGGGGGGGGGGCCCGTAATCCCAGAGACCTTAACCGGAGTGGCTGTATAAGGCTGCACTCAATCCTCCTACACTCTGTCTTCCAAGTGTCATGCTTCCCCACCCATAAGAATTAGACTCCCTACTCTCCCTAATCTACCCAATTTTTGTCAACTATGCCCTTCCCTAACCAAGTTCAGCTCCAGCTTTCTAGTCCACATCTTCTACTCTAGGCAAACTGCTTTTCTGTACCCCTCACGCCTAATCTCCTCTTGCCCAAAGCCTTTGTCTAGACTGTCCCCTAAAAGACTGCGTAATACAGTGGAAAGAATGTTAGATTTGGAATCTAAAGACTAGGGTTCGAGTACCAGCTCTGCTGCTTATTATGTGACCTTAGGCAGATTGTTTATGCTCTAGGGACTTCAGTTTCCTCACTTGCTAAATGATGATCTAGTTTGTACCAGATGATCTCAGAAGTTCCTTCCAGCCTTAAAACAATGATCCAGACATAGCCTCTTATCTACTGTCCACATCATTCCATAAAGTGCCAGACCATCATCTTTCATGTATCTCTCAGATGCAGATTCTAATTCTTAACTGTAACAGATGGGGGCAGAGCTGGCCTTGTGTATAAGTAAAGTAGACAACTGACCAGATAATGGAATCTGAGGGCACCTCAAGTCTGTATGGCCCTAACATTTTCTCTACCATTTTGTCATGACACTGCCCTCTCTTCCTACTAAGTCAGAAATTTCCATCATTCCCACCAACTTACCTCTCCAAGTCAGACAACAAAGGAGTGTATGTGTATATATATACATATATGATATAGATATATGTTATAGTCTTTTCCGGTTTAGAGTTGAGAAGAACCTTAAGACATCATTTAGTTCAACTCTCATTTTACAAAGGAGAGATGGAGAAGGGATGAGTGGTTTACCCAAAGATCTAGTTAGTAATAAAACTGAGATATGAATGCAGGGCAAATCTCTCCATTATACCATAGGACCTGTGCTATGTTCCATCTGTCATTATCTGTGTGGCCTTGAACAAGTCTCAACCTCTTTGGGTCTTAGTTACTTTATCTAAAATAAGAGAGTGTTTCCTTCCAGTTCTAGCTTTACCACCACCACCACCAACAAAATAAATTGTTAGACTGTGTCTATAAACTGGAGAAGGCTGAACCTTTCACTCTCTCCAGCACTTTAGAACAGATTAGTCAAATTACTGATACCTCCAATGTGCTTGGAGCTGGACCTTAAAGGACTAACATGAGCGACCATAAATTTTGTTATTGCAGGGAGTTGGGATGTGAGGCAGTAGGCGTAAGGCAATGGAGACAGGCAGAAAAGATAGGGACTGTCTCCTCTATTGGAGACAGAACAGGCAAATTTAATCATCCAAAAGATGCTTCATTTTCTTCCTCTGTAAAATAAAAGGGTTAGACAGATTCGTTTTAAGGTCTTTTCTGGCTCTTAAGACCTACAAGCCTGTAAAGGACCATAGAGGATGATATAACAGAGAATTTTCGGGCCTTTTGAGTTAAGTATCTTTGGTTCTTCCAGTATTTAATACTCCTATAGCCTTGAGCAAGTCTTTTCTAAATTTTAGTTTCCATAACTGGCAAATAATTACCCAAATGTGTTATTTATTTGTGTTAATAAAGAAGCAACCCAACTTAGTGGATGCTTACTAGCCTACTGAGTCTGGATGATCTGGGGTCAAGTCCAACAACATAATTGTAGTGTGACCCTAGGCGCGTCACTGAACCTCTCAATGGAGTCAAGGCAACTCTCATATTATAAATTATAGCACAGGTGCTGACCTGCATGGATGTATGGAGTTTCTTCAACCTCAGTGGTTATTTCCTATATCAATGAGATTCCATCCCTAAAAAAAAAAAAAAAAGCAGGGGCAGCTAGGTGGCGCAGTGGATAGAGCACTGGCCCTGGCGTCAGAAGGACCTGAGTTCAAATCAGGTCTCAGATCAGATACTTGACACCTACTAGCTGTGTGACCCTGGGCAAGTCACCTAATCCCAATTGCCTTGCCAAAAAAAAAAAAAAGGCAGTCATTACCACCTAACTCATAGTGATATTATGCCTTGAGGGAAGGCGTTGGTTGTGGTAGTGGCATAAAGAAGGCTGGTTGGTAGGAATCCAAACACAATCCAGTGACTGCTCCCATATCACTCACTATTCTACAGATGCTGAGGTTTGACCTCAGTACAGGGGAGTATTATTTTATACTGCCATTGCAGCCCAGAGGCGGCCTATTGTGCTGGCTAGAATCCTTGAAGTTATAAATTCTAGGTTCAAGACTTGTCTCTGACAAATATTAGCTTTGTGACCACAGCCAAGTCTCTTAAACTCTCAGTGGCTCAGGGAGTCTTTAAGTGGCTGAAAGTTGCTAGTGTGCATTGGCGGAAATACTTTCAACACTGGGAGTTTTCTGTGTTGATTAGACACGCCTCTCTCCCTCAAATATATATACATACGAGTGCATGTATGGAGACTGAGAGAACCCAAGAACAGAACCTTGGGGGACACCCACAATTAAGGGGAAGGATATATATATTATGAGCCAGCCAAGGAGACTTGAGAAGTGTTCATACATTCCTTAGTATAGAATTTTTCCAAGAACTTCTGATGATGAGAAGTATCTATACTGCAGTGGAAAAGCGTGTGTGTTGGGGATGGGGGTGGGGGAGGTTTTCTAGGGAAAAAGAAACTGTCTGGGGATGTTGGCCTGGGGAAAGGAAGATAGGGGTCACGTGGTAGCTCTCTTCAAATGTTTAAGGTTCTCCCATAAAAGAAGAATTCTTTGCTGTATTTTGAGTGAAAGGATCTGGGTTCAAATCCCAGTTCTATCACTGACTAAGCTGTATGACTTTGGATAAATCATTCAACCTCTGCCAACAAATTTCCTCAATGTAGTATGACAGTGTTGGACTGGATGACCAGTAAGGTCCTTTCTATCTAAAGTTGTCTGGCTAGACCCCAGAGGGCAGAACTAAGACCAATGGATGGTAGATGAAAAGGAAGACTTAGGCACTTCCTAATAATTACAGCCACACATGGGAGGCATGGGGTTCTTCCTTGATGGGTGGTTAAGATCTGCTTATCAGATATGTTGTAGAGGGAATCCTTATTCCAATAGAGGTTGGATTAAATGGTACAAGGAAACTTCCAACTCTGAGATTGAGAGAGAGAGAGAGAGAGAGTGTGTGTGTGTGTGTGTGTGTGTGTGTGTGTGTGTGTGTGTGTGTGTGTGTGTGTGTGTGTGTAAATTCTAGCTCTATTTATTCCCTGCCTGATTTCAGAATGTTCCTTAACCTATCAGGGCCCTAATTTCCTCTTCTGTAATTTAGGGAGTTGGTCTCAAAGGTATCAAAACTCCCATGGCCACACCCAGATTAAAATGTAATTGAGAAATACTTAACAATATAAATATAACAAAGACATTGTTAATGTGTGGTTTTCTAAGTCAATATACAGCCCAAAGTGTTCCATTTCTAGTTGAGTTTTACACCACCAATCTGTATGATCTCTAATGTCTCTTCCAGATCTAAATTTTATTGTTAGTTCCAATTTTACAAGTGAGATCATTGAAGATAAGACAGGTTTTGGACTTACCTGACATTACATTAAAAAAAAAATGAGCGACATTGCTGGAACTTGAAGCTGGTCAGCCCACTTCAAGTCCAGTGTTCCTTTCTCTATACAAAACTCCTCCATAGTGCCTAGCACAGCAGAGGGTACTGCAATAAAATATAACATGCATTTGTTAAAGGTCTCTGTATGTGCAAGTCACAGTGCTACACACTGATGATAAAAATAAGATGTAATTTCTAGTCTGCCTTCAAAGAATTTATGGGGGATAGGACAAGTACAGGGATTATTTAATTTTTATCTTTGCATCCTCAGCAGCTAGTACGGTGACTGGAACGTAGCTAGTGCATAATAAACGTTTGATGATTGCTTGCAGAAATAACTAAGACAAGAATAGTGGTGGTGGTAATGACAGCAGCTAGCATTCGTAGCTTGAAAGTTTGCAAAACCCTTTACATGTTATATCAATAACACACCTGTAAGAGAGGCGCTGCTGTTAGCTTCGTTTTACAGATGAGGAAAATGAGGTGAATGAAATTAAGCGGTTTGCTCAGGTTCGAACTCTGGTTTTCCAGACCCCCCAAGTTCAGTCTTCCGCCCCTAGCTCCACAAGAGGAGGAAGGACATTAAATGCAAAGGAGAAGTAGCACGTAGTGACTAGTGCTTCAATGAGGGTAAATCACTCGCTCCTCCAGAAGTTTGACCAGACCCCAGAAGTGCCTAAACCAAGCTGGAAGAAAGCTGCCCTCGGGCCTTTTAAACACTAAATATCACGTGCACGAGATGATGGCGGCTGATTGGGCAATAGTGGCCCCGCCCCCTCCAGAGTCTTAGGCAATTGGTCGAGAAACTTCAAAGTTGGGTTCCAGGGCGCGGGAGCCTTCAGCGATGGCGGCGGCTGTGGCGGCCGTCCTGGCCTGCCTGCTCGTGAGCGGGGCGGGGGCCGACATGGCGGGCGACGAGGTCCGCGAGGCAGCGGCCGTGCGGGGTTTGCTGTCGCGCCTGCTGGGGCCCCGGGCGGCCGCGGGGTTCTCGGTGTCGGTCGAGCGCTCCCTGGCGCCGACCCCGGGCGCAGACACCTTCCGCCTCAGCGGCGGCGGCGGCGGCCGAAGCCCCGTGCAGGTGGCCGGCTCCAGCGGCGTGTCGGCCGCGGCCGGGCTGCACCGCTACTTGCGCGACTTCTGCGGCTGCCACGTGGCCTGGTCGGGCGCGCAGCTCCGCCTGCCCGAGCCGCTGCCCGCGGTGCCCGAGCCGCTCACCGAGACCACGCCCAACAGGTAACGGGCTGGGGGGCGAGGGCGGCGGGGGGAGGAGGGAGATCCCGGGGCCGAGGCTCATGCCCCACCTTCGTGCAGGTACCGCTATTACCAGAACGTCTGCACGCAGAGCTACTCCTTCGTCTGGTGGGGCTGGGAGCGCTGGGAGCGAGAGATCGACTGGATGGCTCTGAACGGGATCAACCTGGCGCTGGCCGCCGTCGGGCAGGAGGCCGTCTGGCGGAGGGTGGGTCCGGCCTGGGCCGAGAGAGGGGCGCAGAGCTTCGCCCGGCGCTGCCCTGGCCCTGCTGCCCCCTTTCGCCCCCCCATCCCTCCTAGCTCCCTTTCTCCATCCCCCCTCCTCTCTTTCCTCTTCCCCTTCTTTACCTCCCTCTCCCTCCTCCCTCTCTTGATCTCTTCTTTTCCTGCTCTTCTTCCTGCTCTCTTTCTCTCCCTCTTCTCCTTCCTTTCTCTCCTTTCTTCCTCTTCCTTCCCTTTCTCCTCCTTCTCTTTCTCCTCCCACTGCCCTTCCTTTTTCTCTGTGTCTTAATTCCTGTCCTGTCTCCCTCCCCTCCTTTCCTTCCCTCTCCCTCCTTCCTTCCCTCCTACTGCTCACTCCTCTTTCTGTCTTCTCTACCATTCTCTTCTGTCTCCTTCTTTCCCTCTCTCAAACCTCCCCTACATTCTCCCTCTCTCTCTCTCTCTCTCTCTCTCTCTCTCTCTCTCTCTCTCTCTCTCTCTCTCTCTTTCTCTCTCTCTCTCTCCCTCTCCCTCTCCCTCTCCCCCTCCTCCCCTTCCCCCATCACTCGATTTCCTTTTCTTTCTGTTTTTTCTCCTCCCTTCCCTTACTCCCCCTTTCTTCCTCCTCTCTCTATTTGGAGGAAAACAAATTGTTTTCTTTCCCTCGACCTCAGTTTCTTTTTCTGTAAAAGGAACGGTTGGACTAGAATGGTCCCTTCCAGCCCTGTCATTCCATGAGTCTGATTCTAATTTGGCGTTGGTGCTTACTTACTAATCCAGATTTATGTTGGGAGGGGTAAAGTGAGAGGCATTCTGGTATATTTGGAAAAGTACTAGACTAGGAGTCAGAAGATTTCCTACCAGACCCAGGCCTCAGTTTTCTTCTCCCTCAAATGAGGATAATACTGCCTGCCCTGTCTTCATCTCATAGAACTGTAAGGATGAAGTGAAATATGTATGCAGGTGACTTCATACACTGAAAAGGGGTTCATATTGTTATCTCTCTTTTCCGCAGGTGTACTTGACTTTGGGCCTGAATGAGACAGAGATAGATGAGTACTTCACTGGCCCAGCCTTCCTGGCATGGGGGCGAATGGGCAACCTGCACACCTGGGGTGGCCCCCTACCTTCCTCCTGGCACCTTAAGCAATCTTACCTGCAGGTAATGGGCTAATGGAGAAGAGGCCTCCCTAGGCTAAGTGAAGGGGTTCCTCATGACCCTGATCCAGCTGTCCCTCCTGTTTCCTTTCCAGTACCGGATTCCTGGAGAGAATGAGATCTTTTGGGATGAAGCCAGTGCTTCCTGCATTTGCTGGACATGTCCCTAAGGCATTTACTAGGTGAGTTTACTGAGAACAAGGCAGGACCATAGATGGCAAATCTCTGTATGATTCAAATGTCTTATCTGGGAATGGCAGTAAAAAGAATGCTAAATCTGATGTCAGAGGACCTGGGTTTCAGTCCTGCCCATCTGTATGACCTTGGGCAAATGCCTTAATCTTTCTACCCCTCATTTCCCCTTTCATACAATCAGAAGGTTGGAGTAGATGGCCTATAAAGACCAACCCTTCCAGCACTCAACTCCTGATCTTACAAACCCTGCTTCAGAGGATAAGACATTCCACTGTCTTTTTCTAGAAAAAGTGTAACGTGATAGGAAAAAGAGGAAACTTAGGTTTGGTTCCCAGATCAAACACTTGTAAGTCACATTGGATAAGTCACAAGTCACTTCCTTTCTCTGAACATTGATTTTGTAATCTGTAAAATGGTAGAAAAGAAGACCTGTGTTCTCTCCAGCAATGTTCATAGATTTGGAACTGGAAGTGACTTCGGAGGTCACCTCTCCTGTTTGAGATCCTTTTTTGGTCACCTCCATGCCATCTGGCCAGCTGCCAGTGCCTTCCCACCAAAGTGGCCTGGTGTCTGTCTTGTGTATCTGTATCTGACAGGCTTGGGTCTCCTCTGTTAGGATGTCAGCTCCTTGTAGGCAGGCGTGTTTCATTTGTCTTTGTATCCCATCATCTGTCACAGAGCAGATGCTTAAGAAGTGTTTGCTGCCTGATTAAACTGAGAAAGCAATTTAAGTTATAAAAACTTTCTTCACCATAGCAATCCCAGGAGATAGGTAGGATAAGCATTATCATCACCATTTTACCAGTGAAGAAACTGAGGCTAGAAAAGATTAAAGGCAGCTTATCCAAGGTCACACTGCTAGGAGGTGGTGATAAGAGCCAAAATTTTTTATAGCTTTTTAAGGTTAGCAAAGCACTTTACATGCATTATTTCACTGGATCCTCACAGTGTCCCTTCCAGGTTAAGTGCCACAGTTATTCTCATCACCATTTTACAGAGGAAACTGAGTCTGAGAAAGATTGTGACTGCCCAGGGTCACTTAGTAAGTGCCCAAAGCAGGATTTGGACCCTGACTCCAAGTCTTTCCCTTACATCCATGAACCCTCTTAAGAAACCCTTAAGAAGCCCTTGTTACAGAGGACACTCATGGGGTCACTTGCCTTGAGCCTCTCCCCAGCCTCCTTGCCTTTGCTCTTCCCTCTGTGAATTGGTGACCACATTAAAAAGTTATTTTATCAACATTGTTCCAAAGACTTACCTTACTTGGGGTTCTTAACAGAGGGTCCGTGAACTTGGGTGTTTTTTTTTTTAACATTTTGTTAGTTGTTTTTTCATAGAATTGGTTTCCTTTGTAACCCTATGTATTTTACTTTATGCATGTGCAAATATTATTCTGAGGATGGCTTTTTAGGCTATACCAGACTGCCAGAGGAGTCCATGTTACAAGAAGGTTATACACCCTTACTTTATTCTGATGGTTAATCCCTGAAGGAGGAGGTACTTTGACACAACAAGCAGCCAGTGTGTTGAGGTGTAGTGAAGGTATGAAAGGGGACAATCCCTTCCACCCCACACCCAACTTCTTTCCCAGGAGGATCACTTTGACCTCTGTGTGGGGGTGGGAGGTTCCCTGGTGACATTTTCTCTCCTTCATCAATATGATCCTGCCTCTCTGGTCTCTCCCACCACCTCTGTCCTCCATCATTCTCCCTCTACCATTGTCCCTTCTCTTCCAGGGTGTTCCCTCAGGCCAGTGTCACCAGTCTGGGCATGTGGGGCCACTTCAACTGCACCTACTCCTGCTCCTACCTCTTGGCCCCAGAAGACCCCTTGTTTGCAGTGGTTGGGAGCCTCTTCCTGAGGGAGCTGACTCAGGAGTTTGGCACTGACCACATCTATAGTGCTGATACCTTCAATGAAATGGAGCCCCCTTCCTCTGAGCCAGCCTACCTGGCTGCTGCCACAGCTGCAGTCTATGAGGCCATGATTGCAGGTGAGGAGGGCAGGGTGCTGAGGGTAGCTGAGAGAGACAAAAGGCAGGACATTCCAGGAGGGCTGAGACAAAGAATGAGATGGGGAAGTGAGGGGAATGTCAGCCAGGGAAATGAGGGTTTGGAAAGTATGGGGTGTCAGGAGGGCGGTGGTCAGTATAAGCCTGCTGTTGTGACTGTGAGCCAGTCTCACCTCAGATCCTTACTAGCTGAGTGACCCTGGGGCCAACTGCTTAGATCTCTCTGAGCTTCAGTTTCTTTATCTGTAAAATGGGGATAATAATAGCACCTACTGCCCTGGGTCACTGTGAGGACCAGATGAAGTAATGTATGTCAATTGCTTTGCAAAGCTTAAAGCCCTCTACAGATGTGAACTCCTTATGTGTTCCCTGCTTAAACCCTAGCCCAGAGTTTACAGATTCATTACAAAATGTCAGAATCAGAATGGCCTTTGATTGCTTTTGCCTCCAACACTTACTGTTTGTGTGACCTTGGGCAGGTCACTTTAGCCTCTGAGAGGAGCCACAGTCTCCTCTTGTCACAAGTGCAGGAGTCAGACTCAGGGGCCTGTGAGGTCCCTCCAGCTCTGATTCCCTAGTCTCACCCATCCATTTTGTATATGGGGAGGTGACATCTGAGGTCCTACAGCTACCTAGTGACAAGGCTCAGGCTGGAGCTTAGGTCTCCTGACTCCCTTCACCTTTCCCTTGGGACTGGAAGCCCCGTCATGTGGAGCCGCTTTGTTCCCTCCCAGACAATCCTTTTCTCTCCACCCTCCATCGTTCCTGTTCACTCAGGAAGCATCAGCCTCTCCAGCTCATGGCTGCTTTCCTGCTGCCTACAAACCATCCTGAGAAGCCCTTGATCCCCAGCCCCTGATAACTGTCCTCCCTCTCTTCTCTCTTTTGTGGCTAACCTCCGTAAGAAGCTGCATGAAAGAATTGCCTCTACGCTCCTCTTCACTCTCTGCAGTCTGGCTTCTAACCTTATCCTTCAACTACAACTGCTCTCTCAGCATCACCAGTGATCTTGTAATTGCCAGATCTGGTGGCCTCTTCTCCATCCTCATCCCTCCTGCCGCTCTGCAGGCTTTTACACTTTCATCCACTCTCTTCTCTGGATACTCCTGCTCTCCTCTTATGTGACACTGCTCTTCTGTGGTTCTCTTCTTACTTACGTGGCTGATCACTCCTCAGTCTCCTCTACTGGACCTTTGTCCAAGTCACACCCACTAAACCTGGGTGTCCCACAGGCCTCTGTCATGGGTCCTCTTCTCTTCTGGCTCTCTACTAATTTCACTTGGTGATCTCATCAGCCCCTATGCATTCAACTATCGTCTGCTCCCTACTTATCGTTCTCAGATCTGTATATCCTGCCCTGACCTCTCTGCTGACCCCTAGTCTCACATGTCCAACTGCTTAGTGGACGTCTCCAGCCCAACAGCCTATAAATATCTTAAACTCAGCATGTCCAAAGCTGAACTCATTTTCTTTCCTTCCCAAACCCTCCCATCTTCCTAATTTCCCCTATTACTTTCAAGGGTATTGCCATCCTAGGCTTACAATTTCAGTGTAATCCTCAGTTCCTCACTTTCAAATGTCAAAATCCTGTCACTTTGTACTTTGTAACATCTCCATATACAAGTCGTTCTCTCCTCTGACACTGCCACCACCCTGATCCAGGCCCTCTTCACTCCACACTTGGACTATTTCAATAGCCTGCTGGTGGTCAGCTGGCCTTAAGTGCCTTCCCCTCCTGCATTTAGCTGCCAGATTGATCTTTTTTTTAAAAATTATTTTATTTTGATTTATCAACAATCACTTCCATAAGCTTTTGAGTTTTACATTTTCTCTCCCTCCCTTGCCACCTCCCTTGCCACCTCCCTCCCCAAGACGGTGTGCCATCTGATATAGGCTCGACATATACATTCCTTTTAAATATTTCCACATTACTCATGTTGTAAGGAAGGATTAGAACCAATAGAAGAACCATGAGAAAGGGAGAAAAAAAGAGCAAACAGTCTGCTTTGATCTGCATTCAGACTCCATGGTTCTTTCTCTGGATGTAGACAGCATTTTCCGTGATGAGACTTTTAGAGATGGCTTAGATCCTTGCATTGCTGAGAAGAGCTAAGTCTATCAAAGTTAGTGCAGATTGATCTTCTTAATGTCCAAGTCTGACCATGTTAACCTCTCATTTAGTCAATGCCAGTGGTGCTTATCACCTCCAGAATCAAATATGTTGGATATTGATACAACCACTCTCTTTGATTCGTATCTCCCCTCCACCCCACCCCCAGGCAGCTCTCAAGCCTAATTACACCTCCCTCCATCCCATTTATTCTGTGATTCAGTGACACTGACCTTCCTGCTGCTTCTTGAACAAGACCCTCCCTCTGCAGACTCTGTGTGGTCCCTCCTGCCTGAAATTCTCTTCCTCGTCTCTGTCCCTTCCTGGCTTCCAGCTGATATCCCACCTCCTACAGAAAGCTCTCCTGAATTCCCTTCATCCCAGTGCCTTCCCTCCACTGATTATCTCCACTGTGTCCTGTCTGTATCCTGTTTGTACATAGTTATTTGTGTATTGTGTCCCCTGTTGGACCATGAACTCCTTGAGAACAAGGACGCTTTTTTCCCTTTATGTATATCTCCAGTACTTAGCACAGAGCCTTGCACATAGTAGGCACTTCACAAATGCTTGCTAACTGACTGATGAGGAACAGAGATCCCAAGATTCCCTAGAGGTAGAAGTAATGAGACAGATCAGTGAATAAAGCATTAGCACTGTAGTCAGGAGGACCTGAGTTCAAATGTGATCTCAGACACTTACTAGTTGTATGACCCTGGGCAAGTCAGTTAACTTTAAAAAAAAAAAGGCACTTTGCAGGGGGAGCCAAGATGATGGAGTAAAAGAAGTGGGGCTGGGGTGTGTGTCGGTCCAGTGTAGGATGGGTTTTGAGGTTCTCACGGAGGTTAGCCACAAAAGAGAGAAGAGAGGGAGGAGAGTTTTTTAGGTTTGGGGTCCCTTTGGGAGAGACCCACGTATTTTCTTTCTCTCACTAGCAATCCCTTCTACCACCCCTTATTTCTACAGTGGATGTTGATGCTGTGTGGCTTCTGCAGGGCTGGCTTTTTCAACACCAGCCAAACTTCTGGAAACCCCCCCAGGTGAAGGCTGTGCTGATGGCTGTGCCCCCTGGCCGCCTTCTCATCCTGGACCTCTATGCTGAGTCCCAGCCTGTCTACTCCCGCACTGACTCCTTCTATGGTCAGCCATTCATCTGGTGCATGCTGCACAATTTTGGGGGAAACCATGGGCTTTTTGGGGCATTGGATGCCGTGAACAGGGGCCCTTCGAATGCCCGTCTCTTTCCCAATTCCACCTTTGTGGGTACAGGCATGGTCCCAGAAGGTATCAACCAGAATGAAGTAGTTTATGCCTTGATGGCTGAGCTGGGCTGGCGGAAGGACCCCTTGCCTGACCTAGGGGCTTGGGTAGCAGGCTTTGCAGCTCAGCGGTATGGGACTCCCCACTCCCATGCAGAAGCTGCCTGGAGGCTGCTGCTACAAAGTGTCTACAATTGTTCTGGTGATTTGTGCACTGGCCACAACCACAGCCCCCTGGTGAGACGACCATCCCTTCGCCTGGACTTCTCTGTCTGGTATAACCGGAGTGATGTGTTTGAGGCCTGGAGGTTGCTGCTGGAAGCAGCCCCAGAGCTGGCAGCCAGCCCTGCCTACCGTTATGACCTTCTGGATGTCACAAGGCAGGTGGCCCAGGAGTTGGTGAGCCTGTACTATGGGGAGCTCAGGACAGCCTTTGAGGCAGGAGCAATGCCGGCCGTGCTCATTGCTGGTGGCCTGCTGGTCTTTGACCTACTGCCCTCCCTGGATGAGCTGCTGGCCAGTGATGAGAGGTTCCTTCTAGGGGGCTGGCTGGAGCAGGCCCGGGAGATGGCAGTCAGTGAGGCTGAGGCCTGGCATTATGAGCGGAATGCCCTCTACCAGGTGACTCTGTGGGGCCCACAGGGAACATCCTGACTATGCCAACAAGCAGCTGGCAGGATTGGTGGCTGGCTACTATGCTCCCCGATGGAAGCTCTTTGTGGAGATGCTGGTGAAGAGCCTGGCCGAGGGCACCCCTTTCCACCAGAGCCAGTTTGAGAATGAAGCCTTGCTGTTGGGCCAGAACTTTGTACTGGGGAGGGAGAAGTTCCCCACCCAACCTCAGGGTGACACTGTGGACTTAGCCAAGAAATTTTTCCTTAAGTATTACCCAAGGTATCAAGCAGGAGCTGTGTGACTCAGCCCCTCACCTGAACCACCTGGGACCTCCAGTAGTTCTTTGTACTTTTAAGCTCCCTCCTAGGATTCCAAGTCTTATCAGTGGCCTAACTTGGGACCCCTAGGAGGGCATAGGTATAGAACTATGCCCAGTTTTTGGAGATAGTCTCTCTCCCTTGCTTACAACTGGGCTGTGTCTGGTCCCTAGAGTCCGGAACTGGCCTAGGCTCACTGAAGACACCCTTTTAGCTGTGGTGAAGGTCTGGGATGGAAAGTGGGTCCCGTGAATTGAGAGTCATGGGGGTGGGGGAGCTATCCATGATATTCTCTCTTCTACTCCAGAAATGGACATCAAACAGTTTGTTTTGGGGTTTTTTTTTGGTACTAGTTAATAAATGAGCATGTCTGTTGAGGTGTGTCCTTGGAGGAGCCAGAGAGAGCAGCACTGAGTGTAGATAGGACAGCAGTATGTGTATGACTGACAAAGTCTGCTTCCCCCTTCTCTCCATTCACTGCCAAAGCCGCTAGACTGGGCTTCTGCCTCTGCCCCTTGCCTCAGCTTCTCTCCCCCAATTTTCAGAGAAGGTGAGACTTTTCCTTGTGATGCCTGCCAGGAGATTAAGCTTGAAAAGAGATGGGAGAAAGCAAAGAAAAGGTCAATGAAGGCTCACCGGCCTTGAGATAATGAAGTAGTCACAACAAAGGAGGTGCCCTTGGGGCCCAAGGGCTGGGCCAGCATCTTCATCCTCTCCCTGGCTTTAGCTCTTTTGCTTCTCAGTTCCTTTCAGCCACCTCTTGCCTGTCTCAAAATTTTATCTTCCTGTCTTCCTCATCTCTCTCCATCTGCCCTGTCTCTGTGGAGTAGAAGGTAGTTCTCATCACATGCTGTTCCTCCAGAATTGGTCTGCATTTGGCAGTGTGCTTGCTGACTGATCCTTCAGGCAGCTTCAAAGGTAGGAGAAGAGCAGAGGCCAAAGATCAGCTGTGGAGGTGGGGGACAGGAGTCCCTGGTTGGATCTGAGGAGGGAAGGAAAGATTTGTCTCCTAATTCCAAGTCATCTACTCCACCGGAGGTCATGTAGGAGACAAACCTGAGCACTGATGAGGCGTGAGCATCAGGGCTTCTGGCCTTTGGCTCAGCTTCCTCTTCTCTATTGTTCTCTTCCCACCTCAAAAAGTTTGCACTTTAATGCAGTTTGCTAGCTAGCAGGTTTGTGGTGGAGGGTATGTGTGAGAATCTAGTTGTTCTGCTGCCACCCTGCAGGGTCCAGTGAATACCCAGGAGCATCCCCTTCCAGTGAGGGATAGCCCTGGGAGTCCTGTCCCACCTCTCTTTTAAGATTATATGCTGCCCTCTCCTTTCTCCTTTGCTACCGAATGAAATGGTAGGAACAACTTTGCATCTGCAGTCAGAGGCCTTGGGGTCAAATTTGGATTTTGCTACTTCCTAGCTAGGTGACAATCTGGATCCTCAGTTTTCTCATGCAGAACAAGAAAGCTGGATCTTTAAGTTCCCTTCCAGCCCAGATGGTTCTATGAGTTTTTATGATTTGTGGACTTTGCTTTGACTTCACCTAATTCTGGAATGGAAGAGGAAGAGCAAACTTCTAAGTTGATTACGTATATGTGTATATATTTTTTTGTCTCTACTACTAAAAAAATGCTTAAAACAGAAGAGACTCATAAGCTCATATTAAATACTTAAAACTTGAAACAACCTATGATCTGCTATACCTTTCAAATAAATGTACTTTATGGGATTACTGAGCAGATATTTTACTCCCCCCCCCCCCACCATCTGTGATGTCTATGTAATTCACAAATCTGGATCCCCTGGCTACCCTGGGCTGGCTTAGTCCTTTCAGCTGCAACATCCCCCTGGAGTTTTCTCCTTGCCATGGTATATCTTCTCCCTGCAGTGTTGAAGATGTAGGAAACACCTACCAATGGGCGTCCAACAATGGCTCAGGAACTACCTTTCCCTTTAACTTACAAAGGCATCAATATTTTCAGTATCTCTTTTCAGTCACCTCTGCTCAGGTGACTGACAAAACAAGAGACATAGAAGGACTTGAAGTCTAGTCTCAGGCTCACCTAAGGAAACCTCAATTATCACTGACTAGTGTTCATAGTGTTGGAGGAACTTGGGGTGGAGGGGTGAAGAAATCATCTCATTTCACTGGTCCAAAAAAAGAATGACTGAGTCCAATGCCACATGCTCAAAGGAGAGAGGGTGGGAATATGTGGAGCTATTCTCAGTTCCTCTTAAAGCCCAAATAGGGGATGGCTCCTCCTGGATCAGTTGCCAATGCTCTTTGTCACATTCTAGTTATGAAAACCAAGGAACCAGTTGTTACTGTGAAGCATGTCTCCTTTATCCAGGGGAGGAAGCATTTAACTGTGGTCAGGATAGAACACTTGGCCAGCCATTGTGTTCTGGACTCCACTACCCCCTTACATTTACATTTCATTGAACTTAAGTTTCTTATTTGTTATCCTTACTCTTGCTGTAAGAGAGACCCATGTCCTTTTCTGACTATACATTTCCTGTATGATATCCCCCCGTGACGTAAAGGGATTTATTGGAGAGAAGTATGACCAGAAAAGAAGGGAGGTTGGTCGTGTTTCAAGAGCAAAAGGTAGCCAACAGCCAGCCTTCCTGTTCTGTAGGTTTCCACATCATTTCTTCTTTTAAAATGTTAAAAAATGTCTCCCACTCTCCCCCATAAGAGGAAAAAAACCACAACTTTTTTGTAAAAATTAAGCATAGTCAAGCAAAACACATTTCCAAATGAATGGGGGGGGGGAGGAGAAAGCATTATGTACAGAGAAAGCACCATGCTAAGTGCTTGGGACACAAATGGAAAAGTAACAGTTCCTATACTCAAGGAGCTCACATTCTAATGGCTATGTTAGTAATGTCTAAAAATGTGTATATTAGTCCCATCACTTTTGTCAGGAGGTGGATATAGCACATTTTTCATCATCAGTCCTCTGGAACGCCATTTAACCATTGCATTGAACAGCATCTACTCTATTTCAAAAGCTCTTGACATGTTGGGTAGTTTCTCTATAGAGGATTTATAGAAGACAAGGAAAAAAGTTGCACAGGATGAGATATGAGGACCAACATGGTTGGAGGGAGTACCAAATCTCAGAAGTAAGGCTGACCCACGAGTCTTAGGGCAATTTTAATCCTAAAACTTGGGACACTGTACATAACCCCTCTTCTTATAAACATTAACTTAATTATTGACTGAAGTAGGGAGAACAAATGTCCCTTGTACTGGGTGTAGTAGTTAAATTGAGCCTAAGAGAGGTCAAGGTTACACTCCAACCCAGGCCTCTGGACGGCTTTCACTGAAAATTATCTGTGCCTTTGAGCTCTAAAGTCTCTAAGATAGGTGCAGGTTACTCTCACGTATGTAAGCTCTTTTTGCAGACAATGCTAAGGGCGTTCAGAGAGCAAAGGGAACCAAAGGTTAAGCAGACGCATAAGATGTCATTAAATAATGTCATTCTAGTGCGCAACGCCCAATACGGGCACTGGCTACTGTATAGTCTAACTATCCAAGGTCAAGTGTAAAGCAGTCTGGGGTCATTGGAAGGAGGATGGGGAAATCCGACTACCGAGTTTCCCTCCCTTTGCTTGTTTTTATCCTTATTTTATTTATGCGTCATGTCTTTCCTCATTTCCGTGAGTGGGCCTGAGGGTGTTGTTTGCGTGCAATACCCAGTGTCGCACAGCAGCCTGTAGGTGGACGAGGACTATGACATATCTTTCTCGTTCTCCCCAGCCCTGGGCCTTGGCTCTTCCGGCTGGCACGGGATACCCCGAAGAGAGGCGGAGTGTTAAAGGGTCTGCCAGGTGGGCCCTTTCCCACGTGGCTCCCTCTGTCTCTCCCACCCTCCCCTAGCACCTGGCAGGGCCTGGGGTCCGGTATGGGGTCGGGGTGGAGAGGAGGGGAGGAGGGAGCCGCACTAGAGGCATTTAAAATGCCTTTGACGTCACGCCTTGCCAGGAACTCAGCTGAGTTTTCAGCAGTACATTCCCGTCATCTTCCCTCCCTCCCTCCGGGGCTTCCGCGGACTTAGCCCTTGCTGTTCCGGCTACTCCGGCGGGAGGGGGCAGCGCCACCTAGGGAACAGCCCGCACGGGGGCGTCCCCCCATACGTCATTTATTCTGCATAATTTATCCGGGCAGTGTTTGCTCATTGGCTCCTGGGGAGGGGTTTCCTGAGGCATAATTAGTCGACCCGGGACTCTGAGTGGCTGGGGAGGCGGGCGGCTTCATGAATTAAGCATTAGGGGCGTGTCTTGGCTGGCCGGGATCCTTGTGGCGATTGGTTGGGTGGCCTGTTACTCAGCCGTTTCCGGAGCAGCGGCGGTAGCTGTGGCGGAGGAGTGGGTATCGACGTTAAACTGAGAAGGGACCCCAGGAGCCCAAGCCCCGGCCAGGAGACGTAACCTCCCCCCACACATCCGGGTCCCGCCACCTCCAGCTCCGGGTCTCCAGTTACGGTTGAGCCTAGGCAGCCTTGGAGCAACCTCACCGCCTGCACGGCCTGCAGGGACTAGCCGCTTTGCCTGCGCCTTGGGCCGCTCCAGCAGCGGGACCGCGGGGCCTGTCACAGGCCGCAGCGCCGGGACCAGGTGAGGGGCGGGGCTCTCGGGAAGGGAGAGGGTCCTCTCTCCTCCCTCCTCTCTTTCTTCTTCCTTCCCCTCACTTCCATTGCTCCTGGGGAGACAAACCGGCCACCTCACCTCCCTTTCGTCTCCCTCCGCCCACTCCTCCTGGGGGGAGATAGTCCACCCTCCTCCATTCCTTCTTCCCTACATCATCCCTGGGGAAAGGGTGTTCCTCCCTCCTCCTTCCTCTCCTTCTCTCTCTCACCTCTGTTCCTCCTACTAGGGAGAGAATCCTCCCTCCTCTCCTCCTTCCTTTCTCCTCATGGGGAGAGAGTTCTCTCCCCTCCCCTCCTCTTTCATCTCCCTCCTCCCACCCCTCCTGGGGAGATAGTCCTCCTCCTTTCCTCCCCCTCTTCTTGTCCCTACTAGAGAATCCTCCCTCCTCCCGGTCTCCTTCCTCACATCATCCTTGGGGAGAGAGTACTCCCCCAATTCTTCCCATCTGCTGGGGTTAAAGACTCTTCTCTTCTCCCTCTTCTGTGGAGAAAAGGTCCTTCCTGTCCCTCTTATAGTAAAGACAGGCTTCTCCATCATTCTCCCTCTAACATTCCTCCGGGGAGTGATCCCTGTATCTTTTCCTGTAAGGAAAGTCAAGGCTTCCGTATTATTTGCCCTCCTCCCGTCCTCCAAGGAGAGAGTGCTTCCACTCCTGCCCTCCAAGGAAAGACAGGCTACCTCATTATTCCCTCTCCCTTCATCTCTCCTCCGAGGCGGGAGAGCCCTTTCTTTGCAATCAAGAAATATTTATTAAGCACCTACTATTTGCCATCACTGTGCTAAGCGATTTTGTCCTTCAATAAAAGACTGTCAGTATTCTCTCCTTACCATTCCTCTTCTTCCTCCATTTCCTTGCTTCCATTCTTCATGGGAAGACAGTCTTACCTCCTCCCGTTCAAGAAAAGACAATTATTTTTTCTCCTACCCATCCTTCCTTTCTTTCCAAGGGCATTCTGTCTTCCTTACCCTTCTTCAAGGGAGTTGTCAGAGAAATATCTGGGATCTAGAATTGAGAGGTGACTCCCATGACCATATTCCTTGTTTTTGTTCAATATAGGCAACCATGTTGCCTAGGATCCAGGTGAGGTTGAGGGATGATAGCCTGGGATAGTGGAAAGAATGTTGAATTTACAATCAGACACTTAAGTTTTATGGGAATTAGAGCTAGAAAGACCCTTAGAAATTATCTAATCCATTTCCAGGATTTGACAGACAAAGTAGCTGAGGACCAGAGAGGTTAAATGCCTTCCCAAAAATCATATAGGTAATAAAGGCCAGAGTCAGTATTTAACCTCAGGTGCCTTAGTTTTCTTGTCTGTAGACTGAAAAGGTCAAACTAAGTGAGAAGCTGGTGTGATGTATCAGAAAGAGGGCTGGACTTGGAGTTAGGAAAGACAGGCCCAAATCCTGGTTTTGACATTTAGTATCTGTGTGACTAGACTTAATCTCTCAATCTCAATTTCCTCATTCATAAAATGGAGATAATACTTTCACTCCCTCACAGTGTGTAGTGAGGACAGTCCTTTGTAAATCTTAAAACATTATATAAATGCTACTCTTTCATTTCATTATTTCTAAGGCTCTAAATCTTATGATCCTATTTTTTGGCAAGAATTTATGAAATCATTAAGTTGCATGGTTATCAATTTTCCTTTTGTACCTCCCACCCCCTACCCAGTGTAACTGGGTAGACATAAATGGCTTTTCAGAGACTCTTCGTAAAGTAATCCTCACTCCTTCTGGCTGGTTATTAGGTAGATTTCATATCCAAACAAATACCTCAGCTTCGGAGAAATGTAATACTTCCCTTGGGTGCTTTCCCTTGTTATATGTTGTTCATTTTATGTGTGTGTGTGTGTGTGTGTGTGTGTGTGTGTATACACATGGTAAAGGAGGACAGAAGATAAATAACTGAACCATTGCACTTATTGGATTGTGGTGTTGCATAATTGTACAGGTTGGAGTGAAGTGGAAGTATTGTCTTGGGGCCAAGATCTTGGGTAAAGGCAGAAAAAAAGGGAAACAAAGACTAGCAAGGCCTCTTGGTGAGGCCTTGTGCACAAATTTTAGTGA